GGTTAAAAAAAAGAGAAAAGAAAGACTGAAGACAGAAAAAGAGGGAAGACAAAATAACTCATTGAAATCAAAAAGGAAATGCATGAGTGAGATTTCTATCAGGAAAACCAGTAGGAGGCAATGGGGTAGGCGTGGGGAGAATAAAAACAAAAGAGCAGAGTGTGCAGGGTGGTGAAGGAAAGAAACAACACAAAAGTCCCTTGGAGGGGCAAATGAGGGGGAGGGAGTGGGCAGAAAATATGGTTGAAAGGAGCTGAAAAGCGGGAAGCACTGAGAGGAATCTCAGCTGGAATCCCTGCATCCTTAGTCTCTCTCCTAGTCCCTGTGGAATTGTTAACTCTTCCTCCCCGAGTCTCTTTTCAACTCTCTAAATGTCCAAATTCCAGTTTTTCATAAAGGAAAGCAGCATGCTGTATAGATGAGAGAAGACATCCAAAGGAAGAAGATGCAAGCTGAAAAAAATTCAAGCCTCCCATGGTGCTTTCAGAACATACCGCACATCTCATGTGGCACAGCCCCCAGCCTGCTTTAAAAGAGCCCATAGAAGAGAAATCAGTTGCTGCTTGTTGTGTCTGAGAGAATAACTAATCTCAGGACTCTTGTTCAGGTGTCCTCTTGATGATGGCGGCCCACACTCCTGACCAGAGCCAATGAAGAAGAAGGCAGAGCAGAGGGGAGAGGGGCTCAGGAGTAAGGCTGCAGGAAGCAAACGAAGTGTCAACTCAAGAGCCACAAACAACATCAGCTGTGCACCTGGAAAAGAGCCTGTGAATCCTTCAGAACTGTTATTACTAATGTCATCATTACAGTCAAGTCTTTGAACAATTTTTCAGATTTATGTCATGTGAAACCATGGGACAGACATAAACCAAATTGTGAAAAATAAGTAAATGAACAACAAAGGCTTTAAAAGATTTGCAATATTCAACAACCAGGAGGAATGTCTTTCTTGATCTTTGGCATAATGTAAAACTTTTATTTATTTATTTATTTTCATTTACATGAATTCAAACTGATCAGATTTACCTACTGCAAATCTGATGCTAATTTAAAAATACAATGCCATAGTCTGGTATACATCCCTAAATCCCAGACTTACTGAGGCTTCTTGGGAAGGTTGTTTTCTTTGTCACGTCGGGGTATTCCAGAGTTATCATCATTACTAAGTTAGCAGAGACTATTTCAATCAATAGAGGTCACCTTAAGAAGGCGATTACAGAATTGAAAAGGTATTGACAAGTTTCTGTGTACTTGTCCCTGACTTCAAGAACACTACAATTTAAAGGAGTTTCTATCATCAAAAAGAGAGGGGTGGTTTTGCTATGATGGTTTTCAATAAAATGCAAAGGTTAATATAAACTAAATTAGCAACTAAAGATATTAAAAAACAAACAAAACAACAGTTGAGCTGAAGTGTTTAGCTCTTGTGGAATTAGGTGAATTAGGTTATATCAAATGATTTTACATCCATATTTCTGAATAAATAAAAAAGTTAAGATAGACATGGAGAATGAAATTGACAATGTCTATCAAGGTTGACAACTAATTTCAATAAGAATCAATTGCATTTGAGTCTCCATATTCAGCTAGAGTAGTAAAGTGTTAAAAATTGCCATCCATCAAAAATGCAGTGATCCTTGGACTGAACATCATAGTAACATTTTATTTGCAAACAAGAGAGATGGATTGTGCTCTCCTATCTCTACAGTCTTTCTCCCTGTGTGATTAGAGATCCTGGTGAGGCAGGAAGGGTATAGGATGCCTTCTGAGACCTCAGGAATTATTTGCCTAGAAGTGAAGTTAGGATGATTACTGTGAATATTGTGTTTCCTCTAGTGAGCATAAATATTAAGCTGATTAATTTATAACATCTAACCAAAGCATTGGAAGACTAAGCACTCCCACCCCTCAAAAAAGACTGAATTCTTTTATGTCCTTCCACCTGGGTGGAGTGGTATTGTGTGACTCAGTCTTTGCAAAAGTCACTGCGGGTTGATGAGAAACAGATTTGTATTGGAAGGTTAGGTTTTGATCAAAGCCCTCAGAGACTAACGTGCCAGATGAATTGATGCCAGGCAAAGTAGGTGTGCACTGATCTACATTTGGGGTTAGAAACTCCAAGTCCTGTGAGCTTGGATGAACGGTGCTTTCAAAAGCCCTATTTTTGGAGGCAGGGGAAAGAGAGGAAATAGAGGAAGTGAAAAGTTACTGTGTTAGGGTGATATCATCCCAGGACTCATCATTCATGTCCCAGAGGCGGCTCAGATGAGGAGCCCTGCTGTTTTCATTTTTAGTATAATCATATTTCAAATATTGCATGGGCTATACTTATGCTAAAACCTTCATTATTGTTACCTTTTTTTTTTCTTCAAGAAACAGTGTCTGGCTCAGCAGCCCAGGCTGGAGTGCAGTGGTGCAATTCTAGCTCACTCAGCCTTCACCTTCTGGGCTCAAGCAATCCTTCCGCCTCAGCCTCAAGTAGCTGCGACTATGGGCCCACCATGCCTGGCCATCTTGTATTTCTATTAATGAAACCTGGGTTCTTAGGACCCAGAACCAAAGTCAAACAGAAAAATGAAGCTCTAAGGGATTCCAGGTGAGTCAGAAGTTCAGGACATTGCTCACTTTAAACTGCAGAGGCTGGGACATAAGAGAGTGTGGTAGATTAAATATCTCCATGAATTATTCACACCTCTGGCCATCAAACAGTAGAATCTGTTTCCCAACCTTTTAAGTCTGGGCTGGCCCTGTGACTTGTTTTAGCCAACAGTATACAGTAGAGAGCAACCAGAACTTCCCAACTTAGCTTCAGGACATCTGGCAGCTTCCACCCTCAACCCTGGGAACCCCAGCACTACCATGCTGTGAAGAATCTTGGGAAAAAAAGACCAGGTGTTGAGAAAGGCTTAGGTGTCCTGGCCTTCCACAGCCATCCCAGCTGAAAGCCCCAAACATGTGAGAGTCCATCTTCAATAAAGCCTCATCCAAAACAGGAGCTGACTGCAGCCTCCTAAATGAGACCAAGTGAGACGGTGGATACAGAGAGGATCCTAGGACTAGGGGAGGAAATACTGCTTCTTGAGGAAAGATGATAAGATGGGTGGGGGGATGTGGAGAGATTGATTCCTGGATTGTGTTGTCACTCAAATAGATGGCCAGTGTCTCACCTAACTCCAAAGAAAGGGTAGGTGGGCACCAAATGTCTTAAGGTATCCAAGCAAGCATTCAATCTCTTGGGTAAAGGGTATACTAAAGAGAGTAGATTGGAAGTGATCAACAAGACAGCAACTAGGAGAACTTTAAACCTGAGCTAAAGAAAAATAAAGTGACAGTATACATCTAACCCTCACTTGAGCTTTGTGCAGTAGAAATCCTGAGATATTTTCTTATTCAGGGAAAAAGAATATAGTAGCACTGTGGCTTCACTCTTGCCCAGAAAGAAATACTTTTAACTGCAAGAGATTGAATAGCCGGGGAAATAGGAGATGGAATGATACAAGCCCCAGACTTAGCACCAAAAATACATCCTACCTACCTAGGCCTTCCAGGGCAGACGGGTTTGGGATTATCCAACCCAGCCTACAAGGAGTAAAGAAATTCTGTCATCACGGCCCTTCTGTTTTCCTGGTCTTTCCTTTTTCCAACCCACCCTTTCCACTGTATTTCAGAGCAAGGGTTCAAGCAGAATCTCAACAGTGAGAAGGTACTGAAGACAAAGCAAGGGGTGTCTAATGTGATTGATAGTTTGGTACCTACCTTGCAAGGACCTTGTGAAGATCAAATGATGGGATGTGTCTACTATAAACAATTGGCGAATATGTGCTTGACAAATGGTAGCTACGTTATCTATCTGTGGCTTTACCATAGGACTTAAAACAGCTCCACATATCTGTTTTAAATTTAATTATACACATGATCTTATTTTTTCTTTAGCCTGCAATTACTTGAAAACAGTGACTGTACTTTATTTTTGTGTGTGTACCATCTATAACAGGCAGCTCCTGTTAGGCACTACATAAATATTTGTTAAATGAATGAATCAATGAATGGAATGAGACATACTTGCTGAATTGCAAAAAAAAAAAAAAGGAGCATAAAGGATGTGAATGTTTACAAGTATGCTTACTGTCTACAGGCTGAATTTGGGTGCAAAAGGAGTCGGCCATAGGCTGACTGTCAGGGCTCAAAGAAACTTTTCCAGTCTCTCTGTATACCAAGGTCCAGCAGAATTAGACTCTTTCATTCCTTCTCGTTTAAAACAGCCTAGCTAGGCAGTATTTTTTCCACTTTATTCCTGGAAATACTATGAAACATGATAAGTTGAATGTAACCATTTAGATTTAGTATTCATCAAATATGTTGATGCTTCCAAAGGGTTTTTAGAGGCAGGTGCTATAGTGCATGCTACTTCCTGCAAACGATCTGGCACCAAATTAGAAATCCAGTTAGAAAGCAGTCTGGAAGGTTAGTATGATCTGCCACAGACAACACAATAGCACCAGACGTTTTCAAAGAGAATAAAGTGTAACTTGGGTGGAAAAGATAAATGAGATCAAACAGAAAAAAAAAAATAGAGAAACTAGAAAGATGTAAAAAAATTATCCTCATGAATCTTCACAATGATGAACCACAAATATGGATTAGGCAGGGAATCCCAACCTGTTAATTTACAGAAGAGCTCTAGAAAAAATAAAGTGCACGATGCCAGGCTGCATTTATTTTTGTCCTCTATTTAAAAAAAAAAAGGAATTAGTCTGAAAAATAGCCTGTAAAGAACTTGGTATGAACACTGTTTCTATTAATTGCTTGGTTAGGATGGCCCATATGTGTCAGTGGTCTGCAACCATGACTGCCTCAAATAAGCAGGGGCAGTCGGCTAAAAGTTCGAGAGTATTTCTGCCATTCTGAAGACTGCCTGGATGAAGGGCATCTTAGAAAATGTAAAATGCAATGGATTTCACAGATAAGTGATCCTTGGTAAGTTCACTATGCCTACTCACCGTGGTCAAGGATATATTTCACAATCTCCCCGTTGCCGGTTTTAGCTGCGTAGTGAAGGAGTGAACAGTGGTCTGGTCCCTGAATTAGCAGACTGCCTCCATTTTTATAGCTTTCTATTAGCTGCAAGAGAGACATACAAAAAGAAGCTCAGGCAGAATCCGGAACAAGGATAACAGCTAACTGGTAATAAAATAAGAGTCATGTAGCAAACCACAATGTTTCTAGCCTCAGAGGACATAGAGAAAAGTCAAAAAGATGAAGTAACATTCCTGGACTGTGTTATCACTCACAGTGATGACCAGTGTCTCTTCTAACTCTGGAAAGAGTCTGTGGGTATTGAACAGGCTAGGGAAACTGAATCATGCTGAATTACTTTTTTCATTTATTTTCTGAGCACTGGTCTCTATGGTCTCTGTCTCAAGGGAGTGAGGGGTGGAATGGAAAACAAAAACCTCTCTTTGTTGGCTTAGCATTCTCTTGAGTGAAAGAGTAATTATGGCTCTAAGCAGGAATACCTTGGTGACTGTAGCTAAGCTTCTTGCCCGTGTCCTTCAGTTTTTCTTTAGTCTTATGAAACTATATACCAAATATCAAAGCTGCTTTGTCTCTCCTGTGTAAGATCACTGAATACAAGTATAGACACATACGCATGCATGCATGCACGCACACGAACACACGCCTGGCTTCCTTCTTCATCCAGATCTGCAGCCGAGCCTGCAAACCTTGTGTTAATCACCCAACACATACCTAACAGGCTAGAGATGATGTACAGAGTGAGACCCAAAATGATTCAGAAAATGTAATAGTTTCTATGTGAGAGAAGACTGGAAAAAAAAAAAAAAAAAAAAAAAAAAAAACAGAATTTTGTAGCCTGAGGATAAGGTGGCTAAATGAGGATATGGTCTAAGTTTATAAAATACTGAACATTAGAGAAAATGTGAAGGAGTCCCTCATCTACAAATTATAGTATATCAGGACAAGAGTGCCTACATGAAGCTTCTAATAGGTAATTTTAGGACAAATGAGAATTAAATAACCCAGCAGGTAATAAGCAAAATGAACACATTATCTTTTAAGAAGTTAGATGGTACACATTATAGATAATCAGACATCCCATAAGGCAAAAGAGCATAAATGACATAAATGCAAAGGATAAATCCTAGTGTTCTATACCATTGTAGGATGACTATAGTTAATAATATATTAAATAGTTTTAAATAGCTAGAAGGAGGATGTTGAACATTCCCAACATAAAGAAATGATAAATGTGTGAGGTATTGGATATGGTAATTACCCTGATCTGATCAATGTATATTATATGTATCTAAACATCACTATGTACTCCATGAATATGTATAATCATTTGTCAATTAAAAATATTAAAAAAAAAAAAAAACGTAAATTCGGAGTTCACGTCTTCACTCAAATACATCCATAGAATTGTCATGTGCTAGATGTCAGGAAGATAAATACAATTCGGTCACCGTGCCCAAAGCCCTCACAGCCCATGGGGGAGACAGATAGGTAAAGAGTCACACAGTAATGGACGGGAACATCACAAATGTCTCAGAGAAGCACTAGGGAAGCATGAAGCAGGGGATGGAAAGAGCCATGGAAGACCTCCCAGGGCATGGATCAAAAGCAGTAGCTGAATGAAGGTAAGGAACATTTGGGACTTCCATCCCTAAACTAGGGGGCAAGAGGGCAGGAAGAAGTAGCTAGCAACTTTCCACAAAAGTCTAAAAGGGAATCCTGTTCTGTTCAACCACATTGTCTTAAAATGACACTCCCTTTCTTTGTGGGGAGATCAACAAAGGATAACAGCATAGACCCAACCAAACCTGTTCAGGGTCAATTGCCTGGATCCTGCCTTCCTGTGCTGTTTCTAGACACCATGAACATTCAGTTAGTCCATGGGCATTTTTTGCAGCCCAGTTGTCCAGGAGCTATTTGTGACAGCCTTCACACAGGGGTGGCTCCAGAGACGTTCTGTTCGCTAGTCTCTCGCTCTCTTTCTCTCCCTCCCTCTCTTTCTTTCTCTCCCTCTCCCTCTTGTACAAACACATACACATGTACCCAATTTAATACTTTATATATATTGCACTTTCTACTCAGAAGAAAGAAACAAAAGAAGTTGGAGAAGAGAAAGAGGGCATGAATATTTGAGAAGGAAAATAAAGAAAATATGTGAGAGAAAAAGTAAAACCTTAAGCCCTCAGTAAATATTCCATCTCTCAGTAAATAAGGTGTTATTGGCCGGGCGTGGTGGCTTATGCCTGTAATCCCAGTACTTTGGGAGGCTGAGGCGGGCAGATCATGAGGTCAGGAGATCAACACCATCCTGGCTAACACAGTGAAACCCCGTCTCTACTAAAAATACAAAAAATTAGCCGGGCATGGTGGCGGGCACCTGTAGTCCCAGCTACTCGGGAGGCTGAGGCAGGAGAATGGTGTGAACCCAGGAGGCAGAGGTTGCAGCGAGTCGAGACTGCACCACTGCACTCCAGCCTGGGTGACAGAGGGAGACTCCATCTTCAAAAAGAAAAACAAACAAACAAAAAATAATAAGATGTTATTAAGTCATGTTTTAGTCATTTAGGCAAGAATTATAACAGAGAATGCATTAGGTTGGTGCAAAAATAATTGCAGTTTTTGTCACTGAAATGACAAAAACCAAATTACTTTTGCACCAACCTATAATAAGACAACCAGCTGGATATAGTGATTTCCCACATTGCAAATGATTCTCTATTTAAAAGTACAAAAAAAAAGTGTGATAATAAACTCAGGATCCTGAGAAATCAGTTGCCTAAACTGAAAGCATATAGAAAATAAAATGGAAGGGTTTCAAATGTACAGTGCTTTGCCAAATTTTCTGGTGTAGAAACCCACCAGGGGCAGGAATCAATTATATTCATGCCTTTGTTTCCCACAAAACCTAATGGAAGGCCATGCACAGAGTACAGGATGGTATGGGCTTAATCCACTGGTAAGAAACGGCACTGAACTCATCAATATACTGCTTGGAGAGTACTCTTCTGAGTAACAATTTCTACTGACACTATGATCTGTGCAGTGGCACAGGCACCATTTTCAGGATTATGTGCCTAAAGGGGGCAGCTGATCAAGATGTTTGCAACATTTTCTCCATTTGTTTTCTTCTAGTAACCTGTTGAAAAATGTAGCATAGGTGTCCTTCAGTTTGTCCAACAGATGTGCCTAAAAAAAAGTTATGTCTGAGGGTAGGACTTTTCAGCTTTCTCTTAGGGCTATTGGTTCCTCAATCTGCAATGGCACCTTACTCCACAGGCTGAGGAATCAGGCGTAGCCTCTGCCTTCAGGCAGCTGTCATTATTACAGAGCAGATCAGTTTCAGCAGAGGGTTTGCAGGGGCATATGGGAAGTCATGAGCCTGATGCCTGAAAATGATGTGGGACCAAAAATAACTTTAGAATATTCATGGATGATGTTTATATTATATAACAAATATTTGTATTTCCACCATGTTTAGCTATTTAAAAAACACAGATCTACACTATCAGAATATTAATAAAAAGGCTAACATTTTAGAGCCCCTCCCATATAATAGGAACAGTCTTGAGAGCTTTCTATGTAGTATTACATTAATTCCTCATGACAATCCAAAGACAGAGGTAATATTATTCCATTTTACTGATGAAAAAACTAAGGCACAGAGAGAATTAAATAATTACATGAAATCACACAGACAGTGTAAGGCAGAGCCAAGATCCGAACTCAGAAAGCCTGACTTCAGATTTTACATTCACCCTCAGGGCAGTGGTGACTGCTTCCTCCCTTCTGAACAAAACTCACCAGAAAACATAAGCACAAACTAAACTATTCCAAGTGGATCAGGGTTCTTGTTCGACTAACTATGATCCCCAAAGTATAAAACCATAAAAAGGAAAGATTAATCTCTGACCTGAAGAATGCATTTCTGAGTGTTGTCCAGGTAATTTTTACAGATGCATTCATTTCAATACCTGCCTGAAAGGAAATCTTTAAATTCTTCGAATGCCAGCTTCCAGAGGGCAGGCACACTGTGCACACTGCAGCCTGGGGACATGCAGTTCATTTTAAGTAACTGAGACAAATACCCTGGTGCTCTTGAACACCCTCTCTGCTCAGTTCTCAAAAGAATATCTTGCCTCTTCTATTCAGCCAGTGCAAGCACGGGGATGATAAGTGATAGACGAGAACATAGAAATTTGGTGAGGAATGATGTTGATTTAAAGTTCTTAAAGCATCGCCAAAGATTTGGTAGGAAGATATCTTACCTTCATAAGATCACCAGCTATTACCGCCTGCAAAATTGCTGTGAAAGACAAAAAAGAGATGTCCTATTAGTAGAAGACCCTCTCATTAAAATATTACACAAAGTTGGATCCATATTTGGGATAAGTAGTCTACATTTGGGGCAGGAATCAGGGAAGGAAAATATCTTGGCCAAACAGACTGAGGCCCCCTCTTTAGCCCTTCCCCACTCAGGTATCCATTCCATGTATCCTTCTAGAGCCCATGTGTGCCCCCTCCAGCCTTGGTAAATATTTAAAAAACTGGAGTCACACCAATTGGGTTCAAATCTCAACTCTGACACTTTAAGCAGCAGGGCACTGGGCAAATCATTTAACTCCTCTGAGCCTCAGTTTCCACATTTGTAAAAGAGCAGGTTTAAACTTAGTAGGGTTCATGAAGTCCTATGAATGTTCCTAACCCAGCCACGGATGCAGAGTAAGTGCCTAATCATGATTGCACTTGCTTCCTTCTTTCTAGTTCCTTCTACTTTGCTTTCTTGGGATTTAAGCAATCACCAGTCTTTTTGTGTGTTTTGTGGTGATAGATAAATACCTATTGCTATGAATATTAGGAGGACTGGAGACAGCGAAGAGGAATCAAGTCTATTTTAACCGTGTTCTTGAGAAAAAAGCCATATGTTTGGCATATAATTTACTGATGATTTTTATGGAAAAAAGCCTAGAGGTAATAGGTAACTTAAACTACTTTTAAGAATATGTAGCCTTAGGGAAAAAAAATAGATGTGTCTAATGATTCATGCACCTTATATAGGGTGTAGAGGAGGAATGAGAGGCTGGGCACAGTGGCTCACGCCTGTAATCCCGGTACTTTGTGAAGCCGAGGTGGGTGGATCATTTGAGGTCAGGAGTTAGAGACCAGCTTGGCCAACATAGTAGACCCCATCTCTACTAAAAATACAAAAATTAGCTGGTGTGTTGGCACACCTGTAATCCCAGCTACTCGGGAGGCTGAGGCAGGAGAATTGCTTGAATTCGAGAGGCAGAGTTGCAGTGAGCCAAGATTGCGCCACTGCCCTCCTGCCCAGGCAACAGAGTGAGACTCCATCTCAAAAAAAAAAAAAAAATCATTTTTATTTTAGATTCAGGAGATGCATGTGCAGGTTTGTTACAAGGATATATTGCATGATACTGAGGTTTGAGCTTCTATTGATCCCAACACCCAGAGAGTGAACATAGTGCCCAAAAGGAAGTTTTACAGCCCTTGTCCCCCTCCCCCTCTCCTTCTAGAGTTCCCAGTATCTATTTCTCCCATCTTTGTGTCCATGAGTACCCAAGATTTAGCTCTCACTTACAAGTAAGAACATGTGATATTTGGTTTTCTGTTTCTGCATTAATTCACTTAGGATAATGGTCTTCGGTGCACCCATGTTGTTACAAAGGACATGATTTCATTTTTTTTATGACTATGTGGTATGCCATGGTGTATATGTACCACATTTTCTTTATCTACTCCACTGCTGATAGGCACCTATGTTGATTCCATGTCTTTACTCCTGTAAATAGTACTAAGATGAACAGTGAGCACATGTGTCTTTTTGGTAGGATGATTACTTTTCCTTTAGGTATATAGCCAGTGATGGGATTGCTGGGTCGAATGGTAGTTCTGCTTTAAGTTCTTTGAGAAATCTCCAAACTGCTTTCCACAGTGGCTAAACTAATTTAAATTTCTAACAACAGTGTATAAGCATTCCCTTTTCTCCACAGCCTCGCCAACATCTGTTATTTTTTGACTTTCAAAAAATAGATTTTAAGGCTTTAAAGTCACAAAGTTTTAGAAGAAAAATAATTTAAATGTATTTTGCAAAGTGATATTTTATTCCTATTTGAGTAGTCTCTCATACAGAGTTAGCCAAAAGTGCTGTATCATGCATTAAATTACATGGAGTCCCCAGCTGTCACAGAGCAAAACCCCCAAAGCTTTTATATCGAGTATTTATGAGTCCTGGGTGTGCAGATGCAAAGGACCGTAAGAATATTAAACTCGTTCACTGGCCCTGGGCTGAGTGCCTTCCCTTTGACCAAAGTTGAAGCCTTGGAAATTTATGGAAATGATGAGGGCTACTTGAACATCAGAGGAAAAAGAAGGTAGGAAGAAAAGAATGGAGAAAAATGGAGAACAGAAAAGAGAGAAGAAAAGTTCCTCACCATAACAAGCTATAAGCAGCATCCTCTTTGCATTCCCCTGTGAACCCTAGCATATTGCTTTGCACATTGTAGGAGAACACCAATTAATTGTTGAACTGACAGAAAAAAAAAAAAACAGAGAGAAAAGGAGAAGAAAAAAGAGATGAAGATAAGAGAAAGGGAATTAATAAAGTGTTTTTTAAAAATCCTATGAAAACACGGTGTCTTACTCTTCATTTTATAAATGTCTACAGTGGAGTTTAAAGTAAGTTAATTCTCTCGAGGTATAGTGGCCCAAATCAGCACCATAATACAGACCCTGTGTGAGCCTGTGTCCAGTGCCCTCAGTGAGTTCATCATGCACAGAACTCTACTAGGCTCTGCAAGGCCTATAGGCAGGGAAAAAACCACTGTTGTCAGGTTTGTAATGTGAAAAAGGCTCTCAAGTGGAGTCTAATTCTAATCACTACAATTTATTGGGCACATAAATTTTGGAAGTTATTCAGTCATTTTGAACCAATTCTCTCATTTGCAAATGAGGTTAGCAGCTGCACTGCTCACCTCTCAGTAGTTAGAATAAAATTTTTAAAGTGTTTTATAAATAGATATGTTATATAAACAGAAGGCACAGTTTTCAGTATTTTGTGACTGCACATAAGTACATGAAAAAGACATATGGACCTTCAGAAGGAGCCTACCAATAAGGGTAAAATTGGCATGTGAAGTTGGGCAGACATATCCCTGTTAATATAGAACCCATCAGATTAGAAGCACAGATAAATGAGCCAAGGATATGGTGTTTAACAAAAACCCTGCGTTGAAGGACAGGGAAGGAGAGGCTGGAGAAAGTAAAGCCAGTCCTTCATATCTGCAGGTTCCACATCTGCAGATTCAACCAACTTCACATTGAAAACATTCAAATAATAATAAAAATAACACAGTAAAAAATACTATAAATTTTAAAAATACAGTATAACAACTATTTACATAGAGCATTTGCATTATATTAGGTATTATAAGTAATCTGAAGATGACTTGAAGTGTACAGGAGGATGTGCATAGGTTACACACAAATACTGAGCTATATTAGATCAGGGACTTGAGCATCTGTAGATTTTGGTATCTGCAAGGGGTCCTGGAACTAATCCCCCACAGACACCGAGTAACAGTTGTATTAGCAATCACAGGTCCAGGAGAACAAATCAGTCTGGACTTTAATACTATAGGATGTTCTCCTGACTGAAGTAGAATGTCCCTGATAGGAGAGAAGCAAGGTTAGGAAAGTTGCATGAGGGCGCAGTTAATGCAAAGCCTTGTAACACACACAGAAGTTCAAAACACAGCCTATGTTCTTGGCCAGACATGGTGGCTCACGCCTGTAATCCCAGCACTTTGGGAGGCTAAGGTGGGTGGATCATGAGGTCAGGAGTTCAAGACCAGCCTGGCCAAGATAGTGAAACCCTGTCTCTACTAAAAATAAAAATAAAAATAAATTAGCTAGGTGTGGTGTTGGGCACCCATAATCCCAGCTACGCAGGAAGCCAAGGCAGAGAATTCCTTGAACCTGGTAGGTGGAGGTTGCAGTGAGCCGAGATTATGCCACTGCACTCCAGCCTGAGCCATAGAGCTAGACTCTGTCTCAAAACCAACCAACAAACAAACAAACAAAAACAACAAAATAGCCTATGTTCTCAAGACTGTATTGAAACATCTGTCAGAATTTAAAAGTTAATAAAGAGAGAAAAAAACAGAGAAAGGAGAAAGGAAACAGAAAAGGAAAGAAAAACGAATTAATTAACTGAAAGCATTTATGTAATAAAATTTGGTGCATGTAAGCAATAAAGCAAGATGATGAAAAAACTCCCCAGGACAAAGGCTATTTAAGGATCACTAAATATGTAAGTCAATAAAAATAGGGCAGTCTAGGTAAAACTTTTGACTAGGTGTGGAGTTCATAGAAGGCTTCCTGAAGCAGGTGAAGTTTAAGCTGACTCTTCTATGATACATAGATTAATTAACAAAGAAGGTTTGAAAAATCCTTGCAAGATGAAGGAAGGATGTGAACAAAGAGATAATGGTAAGTCATGGTGTCTGAGGGAATCTGCAAAGAGCTTTGTGTTGTCACATCTGAGGTGGAGAGTAGTCTCAGGTAACGCAATCCAAGGTTTCACAGGAACCACTCCAGGGAGTGAGTCTGACACCAAGATAAGGCACTTAAATTTCATTCTCCCGGTGATGAGAAGCTATTGAAGAGCTAAAAGCAAACCAGGAGAGCATATAAATGTCCTTAAGCATGTCAGTGTGAGTCTGCTTCTCCCCCTCTGGAAACAGTTAAGTTCCCACTCTTCGCTCCTTTTCTCCCCATAGCCAACACTACAGCCTCTTTCAACTTCTACCCCACATCATTCACAAGCACTGTTATTTATGTTTATTGGTTTCCAACAGCCTCCCAGTTTGAAGTCCCCTTGAATAGGTAGAAGATCATATGACAGAATCATAACCATGAATAATTTCCAATTGTACTGGATGTGGAAAGCATGAATATTTATTTTCAGTCAAGCAATATACCCAAGGGTAGCTATTATGCAAACATTATTAGAAACAAGGCTCACTTCTCTTTCCTGATTAATGTCCTTCCCTATGAACACTGTTGTTGAAGATTTCCTCCACATAAAAAGAGCCTGAATCTATTATTATTCAACTCCAGATAATGACCTTCTGAAGGATTGAGCTTAAACACAACGAGTTGTTGTGATTACAATATTATTCTTCATAGTTTCTTGAGCTCTGAGCTTGTCTTCTTGCCTTTCTCAAAACTCCTTCATACTAAGGAAACAATGCTCCAAAATTCAAAGAAGCAGGGAAAGTCAAGTTG